ATCTATTACACACTAAGCCAATGCCAGCTATAAGATGAAACCAGATGAGCCTAAGGGCCTTGCATCTCCCATCTTGACAGATGAGGAAACTGAGGTTCCCAAACAAAGCTCGCAGCCCTGACCTTGAGGCACCAGGATGTTCCAGTGGTCTGGGAGGAAGTCAGATCCAGGGTCCTCTGAGAGCCAGGCCAGTGGAAATGAAGGGAGACGAGGCTGAGATTCCAACATATGCCTCTGACAATGCGGAGGAGGAAAAGCCTCCAGAGTTCTCCCAGAGCTGTCCTGGCCTCCTTCCTCCTGCCCTGGCTGCTGGACTCTGGGGAGATGTGGCCATTTAACTTGCTCCTGCCTTCTGGCCATCACAGCTCCCCACAGGAGCAGACAAAATGACAATTAGAGCTGCTTCTATGCCAACAGCTGTCTCAGCCATGGAGGGCATTCAGGCTAAGCAGAAGTGAGCCCCGCACCGGGAGAGAAGATTGGCTTACATATCTCCGGGGCTCAGGGAAATCTTGAACACCAATACCTACCACCAGTAATGTTCACTTACTTACTTGATAGCCAACCCACATTTATTGAGCACCTGCTGTGTGACTCACACAGACACAAAGGAAACAGAAGCCTGGAACTGATCCTTGTGGAGGAAGGGGTGATAAGACACAAGTCAGTGATATGTTAGTGTGGAAATGCTGTAGTTAAGATAGGAAGGAGAGATACACATAAATATACCGAATGTGGAAAGCCTGACCTGGTCAGGCTATCAAGGCTTCCTGAGAATGTGACAAATAGATATTGGAGTGTGGGGGCTGCTCCCTGGACCCAGAATAGCACTACAGGCAAAGGGAGCAGTAAGAGGGAGGACAGCAGACCCAGGCCCAGAAGGTGAGGGAGCACAATGAGAAACCCAGCAGGGACCAAACCCTCTGCACTGCAGGTGCCGCATTTAACAAAGAAGATAATGCCTCCTGTGTGTGCCTGACATGCTGCTGGAACTCCCCAACCTGTGTGTGCCTGACATGCTGCTGGAACTCCCCAAAGCGCAGCCTCCTGGAGGATGCTGGCTCTGGAAAGGTCAGTCCTGGAACAGACAGAGCATGGGAGGAGGCAGAAGTCTGCCCAAAGGCCCCAGGCTTGTAAGCAAAAGAGCCCAGCCTTACCCTAAATGACCTGGGGCAAAAGCCAGATAAGCTTGCCTCTGAACAACACGGTTGCATAAGGATGCTATTCCAACACTGATATAAAAGCAAAAACAGGGAAACAAGCTATATCCTGCCACAAGGACCCTGCTAGGTGGATTATGGCATTGCCAGTTGAGGGGAATCAACACAGCTCTTAAGAAGAAGAGATCTACATACATGTAAAGTAAGATAAAGAGATCTCTAAGGTCTATAGTTAATGAGAAAAAAGTAATGTACAGAACAACAAATTTAACAGGCTACTAATTATTAAAACATGTAAATGTGTGCGAGCAGCTTACTCAGGGATCACTCATCTCTGAAAAGATAAAGGAAGACACTTTTCACTGACTCTTCACTGCATACCTTTGTTAAGCAGTAGACTTTTTAGCAAGGGTGAAATAGTTTTTCAAGAGTAAAAAAAAAAAAAAAAAAAAAAAAAAGATACTTTTCAACTCCTAAAACAATAAAATCTTACTAGAGGTACAGGTAGAGCACTTGCCTAGCATGAAGGAGATCCTGCATTCAATACACAGTACCTAAATAAATAATTAAATCAGTTAAGGCAGACCCAGATCTAACATTTCTCACTGTAGAACACTGGGTGAGTGATTGCATTTCTGGGCCTCAGTTTCCTCTTTTACAAAATGGGGATCATAATAGTAATTACTGTTATAGAGAATGAGGATTAAATAAAGCTCTAATGTTTGAAAGAATTCAGTTGAATTTTTGGCAGGTAATGGTTAAAAAATACAAGCTATAGGTCTCAGCACTTAACAATTTGTACTAGCCAGCTATTGTTCTTTTTATTCCAAATGACACTGAGGTTACTCTCTGAAAATGCATCCACAGTGACAGTGAGGGATCTGTCATTCTTTCTTATTAAAGACACAGAAGGACACCCATGGGGCCCAAACTGAGCTGATGCTAAGGAACAGGGTCACTGTGGGTTCTTGCCTGCCACAGAGCCACTCTTGCAGGAGTGTACTGGAGCAGGCTGGAATGCTTTGAGCTGGACAATGAATAGCAGATCTCTGCCTACCCCAGACCTGCCCTACTCACAGCAGGAAATGGGCCAGCACAAGCTTCTCAAACCCACAGCCTGATGTCTTTCTCAGCTTCAGGGCACAGATACAATGAGAGAAGGTGCCCTGTTAGACAACACTGCCCAAATCTTCAAGACAGGGAATGGGTGCAAAGCCACTGTGGAGGACCCCTGGCAACTTGCTCAGAAGGACAAAGGGTAACCTAGGGAGCTCACCCTGCTCCTCCCAATCCTCTGGCATTGGTGCAGCATGGAAAAAGAATATCATTTAATTAAATCACTTTAATTAATCTTATCACTTTAATTAAATTTGAATCTTACCCCAATGCGCAGTCATTGAAAGATGAGGTCCTCCCTCAGTGAACCTATGAAATGGCAATAATAAACCCTCCCTCAAAGGCGTCATAGGAAATAAAGGACAGGCATGCTCTTAATGTGCTTCCATCCTAGGAAAACCCATAACTCTAACTAAAGAAATCCAGAGACATGTATAAAGTCTAAGAGAGGGCAGGAGTGAGCACAGGGAGCCTGCCCCCCACCTCGACTGTATTGCAGGGCTCTAACCATAGGAGGTCACCTTCACACGCTGGCCATCCAGAAACAGAGGCTGAGGTGGACTGGAAGCTCCCATAGTGCTTCCCCACCCCATGTTTATGAGCTTCCTGATGGAAGCACACACTGCCATGTGCAAAGCTGTGTCCAGGCCAAAAATCAAACCTAAAACTTACAAACCTCTAGAGCAAGGGAAAGAAGAACATGATTACAGATCATTACAGGGTTGCAATGAGCAAAATCCTAACTAGGAAAACCTAAAGGTTCAACAGGCTAATTTTCTTAAAACAATAAAAATAGCAAAGACAAGTGGATTTATAGATGAAGGGAGACTTAAAAACCTTATATCACCCAATTGCAGTATATGAACTTTATTAGGATTCTGAAGTAACTGAAGACTATTGAACACTGCCTGGATATTTGATGATATTAAGAAATCACTGTTAATTTTTAAGATGTTACAATGTATTTTTAGCTGTAGTTACATGTAATGATTTAGATCAAGAATGACCCCAAAACACCAAGTGTTCCAAGGTGGGGATTTTGGAAGCTGATTTATCATGGGGACACTCGAGGTGAATATGCTGTTGGCAGTAGGCATGATCAAAAGAGTTGAGTTATTGGGGGCATGATCTGGAAAGGTATATCTCCTTCCCCAAATAATCACAGCTGGGAAGATTCTGAATAGAACATGAAAGAACTGATTATTGTAGAAACTGAGTAACAAGTATGTGGACTATATTATATACAATTCTCTTTGATTTTATATACATATGAACTCTTCCACTATGGTTAAAAGTGAATAATCAAGCCACAGGGTGAGACAGAATATTTACAATACATATGACTAAAAAAAGAAGTGAAAAGAACTACTATAAATCAGTAAGAAAAGCAAATACAATCCAATAGAAAAATGGGTGAAGGTTATAAAAACAAGTCACAAAAGTGGAAAACAAACCGGGCAACAGCAAATGAAAGGATGTCAACCTCACCTGTAACTAGGGAAATGCAAATTGAAACCATCTTACATAAATGAGTTGGTAGGATGTAAAAGTGTTGGCAGGAACTCTTGCATGGACTTTAGAATTTGACCAACTAAAACTAGTTCAATATATTAAAGCTAGGCAAGTTCATATGTAGCTGCTAACCTTAAAGAAACACTGGCTTAATGGGGAGGAAGTCCCTAATATGTACAGCAGGACTTCATAAGACAAAAAGAAACAGAAGTACAGTAGTTGGATCCACAAAGTCAGACAGTAAAACGGTGGGTGCCAAGGTCTCAGAAAGGGAGAAAAGAGAAGTTAATATTTAAGATAGAGTTTCAACTGGAGAAGATAAAAAATTCTGGAGATGGAGGGTGGTGGTATTTTCACAATACCAGAATATATTTATGCCACTTAACTATATACTTAAAAATTATTAGGATGGTAGATTTTATGTTACATATACTTTACCATAACTTTCAAGGATGTGAAAGAAAAAGAAAAGAGACATCCAATGTGTGAATTCTGTAAATCCTGAACTTTTTAAAAGAAAGTATTAAAAATGATAAGATAATTGGAAATTTGAACATTGACTGATATTTGAAGGTACAGGGTAACAGAGAATGATAAGAATATAGTATTCATGTTTTATTATTTTTAGACATATTTCTATAGACTTAACACCCAGTGTTTTATCCAAATAATATGGAGGAAGAAGCTAGGATAGGGAAGATCATTTGAAACTAGACCAGCCATGACTGATTATAGTTGAATCTGACAATGGATACCAGAGAGTGCATTATACTTAATCTGGTCTACCTTTGGGCACTTAACATTTTACATAATAAATATATTTTAAAATGAAGAGGAAGTTATTATATGTGTATACAAGCACATGTGTTAGAATGCTAACAGTATCCTCATTTATAATGGCAAAATAGTCATTAATAGTAACAGTATACTGGTGTATAATAGCCAATTTGAGAACAGATTACTAGCAGGGGGCATGTGAAGTGTGGCTACAGTATAATTTGTAGCATTTTATTTATTCTAATTTCTGGTGCTTCGCAAAAAGCAAATGTAGCAGAAGTTAATGTAGGTAAAATCTAGATGGTGGAAGCATGGATATGCATTCTTTCATCTTTGGTGCCTTTACACTACCAATAGTGAAAGAACTAAAGAGTGCTTGGGGACAGCAGAGGCCAGATCAACTGACAGGCACCACCCACAGGGTGAAGCACTCACCGGCCCCCGGAGGTCGATGAGCTCCTGGCGCATCTGGGATACGAGGGTCTCCTTGGCCACCAAGGCCCGGTGCAGGCGTTCATTGAACTCAATCAGCTCCCCATGCATCTCAGCCACCTGGAAGAGACAACCACCAAACTGTAAGGCTCATGAGGCAGACCCTGCCCATGTTCCTCCTCCTTCGGACACTCCTTCCCGCCACATTTTGGCAAGGTATCAACAGCTTTTAGGGCCATTTACCTATGAGCTGGGTTTTCTGAATATGTCTTAATTTGCCTGGGCTTAGCACTTGGGAGTGGCCAGTCCACAAGTTATAATCAAAATACAACTATATCATCATTTTTGAACTTCAACTTCTGGTTAACTAACATTTTTCTAACAGACACTTTTGTTCTGATCTGAGTTGTGCCTGTCAAAAAAGTCCCTGCTAATAGCACAATGACAGTAACGGCAACCATTCTGTTCATCAGGTCTTTGGTTCTGGAAACCAAGGAAACAGAACCAGAGATTTCTCCAGGGTGGTGTCAACGATAGTGACAGACACAATAGCAGCTGCACAGCTTCTTCTCTGTCACTGCTAACTCCACTCCAACACATCCTTCCTGTGTGCTCCGCGTAGCTGTATCTTGGGAGCGCTGAGGGGTGTGTACTATTACTTTCACCTGAGCAGAAAGAGAAATAGTAGCTTCCTCAAGGTCATCCCAGCAACAAAGGGCAGATGTGGAACCTGGCTGTGCACTATGAACCTGCCACTGCACTGGGCCCAGATGCAGCCCTCAGCCTAGGAAGAACCACAGGATCTCTCTGAACTGAATTATTCAATATTTCTGGGGGCTGGGGATTTAGCTCAGCGGCAAAGCGCCTGCCTGGCAAGCGCAAGGTCGTGAGTTCGGTTCCCGGTACCGGAGAAAAACCAAAAAAAAAAAAAATATATTTCTGGCTGATCCTGAATAAATTAAAATGGAGATGGCTACACAGTAGCCTATTAAATACAGAGACTTCTCAACTATAATTTATTCAAATATATTAGAGAAACATGAGGTGTTGTGCTGCCACATTGTCTCTGAACCCTGCAGGAAGGCTACAAGCACCGTAAGAGAAGCCTGTACAATGTGAGGTCAACAGACTCTGAGTCGGTCTGGGCCCCTGACCTGGCCAAGAGATTACTCCTCCCACACCTCAGACTTACTTAAATAGGCAATTTGTAACATATAGTTTACATGATTATGATAAAAGATACTGTCAGAATAAGGAGAGTACACAGGGAACTAATCTAGGTCTCTCCATTGGAGAAACAGAAAGGAGCCCTTCTTTTTGGTTGTTTTGCTGTATGAATGGTAAAAGTAAAAAGTTTAGAAGGAGCCAGGCATGGTGGCACATGCCTGTAGTCCTAACACTCTGAAAGGCTGAAGTAGAAAATTCCACTCGGGCCACTTACCATGACACTCTTTGAGAAATACACACACACGCATGTGCACACACACATGTATAAAGGGCTGGGGGTGTAGCTCAGTGTAAAGGCTCTGGGTTTAATCTCGAGCATCCAAAAAAAACTTAGAAGGAAGTACAGGAAGATATTAACATTCAAAGGGTGTACTTTTCCCCATTCTTTCTACTTTTCCTTAGGTAAGTTTCCTATTAATGAGCACCCTTTCATTTACCAGTGAGAGAAAGAATGAAGTTCTATACAGAATTAAGCTCTAAAGAGTTGAAATTTTTCACCTAAAATAAAAAGGAGCCATTGTGCAATTAACATGAAATTTATCAGGTTTCTAATTTTCACCTTGGACACTTCCATTAACTTGTTCTGTGAATTCTCCTCAAATGGCACCCTTCTGTCTCTAAGGTGCCCACTTCTGCCAATCCAGTGTACAATACTAAGTGAAAACTGCACAAAAGATACTGCAAAGAGTATGCAATTAAGAAAGGAAGAAGTCATTGAGCCTTTCGCCAGCTTTTTTCTTTGTGCAGACCTAAAATTAATATTCCCTCGTTGCCTTATTCCTTTTGTACATGAAAAGCTTAATTTGATTTTCTTTTGGCCTTTAACAAACAAATACAATATCACTAATGTCACCGTGAATCCTCTACACAGAAATCACATGAACACTCCATGAGCTTCCTCAGGGCAGTGAATCCCTTTACCACACCATAGCTGCCAACGTCATCAGTGAATACCTGCCAATGTGCTCCCACAAAATGTGAGCTTTAAATAATGCCAACGCCAAAACAAAGCAGGGTTTTATGCTTTTGTTTTTGTTTTGTTTTGCAGTGGGAGCCAGACTGCTACAACAAATTTTCATCAGTGTATAAAACATCTAAACATTCTAGCTCCAAGTGGTGTTCATCATGAGCTATCAAAAACCTGGTTCTCTTTTGCAGCCGGAAGAATGATTTGACCACATCAGATAAAGCTTTCTTTACAATGAAGACTAGAAAAAATAACTGATGGAACTGAGGGGACAAAATCTGATGACATAATTTCATTGTTAAACTCTGATGTTCACTGTTTCTGAGTTAACCTCTGAAGCTCTGAAATTTTATACTGCACATCACTCCCCATGGCCACTGGTGTAAACATTTACCTTCTAGAAGTCACAGCAGCTTACTATTTCTCAAATAACTATTTCCAAACTTAACTACAGCCAGAAACAATGTCAAGAATTAAAGAGAGCCTCAGAAGAGAAATGTAAGATCAAAAGTAGTTCCCATTACCACAAAAATAAAAATAGGCCAAGAAACCACTGTCTCTTGGAATTTTTGTTAGTTTCTAAGGCACTCTCAGGTCTCCTCTGACCACTTGATTTACCATAGCCAGGGAGGACTGTAGAGAGCAGGGTGGGATCATTGTCCTCTGATCCATTCTCATCCAAGCAGGCACAGTGATCTTCCCAAAATCACATTTCATCTTGTCCCCCGCTGTTTAATACCTTCAATGCTTCCACTACCCTAAGGATAAGATCTAGTTCCTCTCTCCAACTCCACCTCTCATTTTCAGCGTCTCAGTAACACCACTCAGCCCCCCTGAGTGCTCTCTCTTCCACGGACAGGCTGAGCTCCAGAAGGCTGCCCCACAGAAAGAGGAGAAAGGTATGTCCACTGAGGGAAACTAGGGGTGCCAAGGGCTAGAGGCCAGCAGAGGCAAGGGACAGCTGAGAGGGTGCTTTGATCCAAGACAAGCTTGGGCCTGGTCAGCTATCAACAGTTTGTTCTGATGCTGGGCAGATAAACTCTATGAACCAGAGGCTAATCATCTATAAAATGGGTCACTGTGCAAATGAAATGAGATCCTGCAGTTGTCCATCATGACAGCATCTCCGAGGCAGGGAAAATGCCCCGAGACTGAGCCAGCTTTCTGTGACTGTATAAGGAAACATGGAGGAGGCAGCAGAGTGGCAGGTCTCTGGAGGTCAAATGGGCCCCCCGCTGTGCCACACCAAGGAGCTGGAACCACCACAGGAAGATGCACCGTTACCCAAAGCCAGAGCATGTTAGAGTTGCTAATCACCTGCCAGCCAGGTTCTAAGTGAACCGTGCATGGTGTGAGGCTGGCAGCAGAGTCACACAGTTCACATCCTTGTGACATTTGGTCAGACAAATCGATAGAGCCACTTAGAGGGAAGGCAGGAAGGTCAGAGAAGGCCTCTCAATGAGATAACACCCAGGAGTACCTAATGGGCCCTGGAACATCCCAGGCAGCCTCTGATGGCAGATCCATGCCCTGAATCCCAAACAGGCACCTGCTGTGTTCTGGCACCATCAACGCTCAGGGCATTTGAGATTCGTGTTTCTTTCTACTCTCAGTTGTTATAATCCATGAAAATTACTCTTGAAGGCAGTTAGGGGAAAGGTCATTTGACAACATTGATGACAGTGACAAAAACAAATGTCAGGGAGAGATATAGTGAGTAGGGTTGATGAAGCTCCAGGCTCAGCCCAAGATGGACTCTGAAGAGGATCAAGAATAGAGCTTTGATTCTCTGAAAGGGCCAGGGACAGTACCTGGCTAGTAGATGTGGCCCCTGAACCATGCTAGGGAGGTTCACAACTTATCAGCTAAGGAGGCACAAAGGCTTTAAGAGTCATACTTTAGGTTTCATCCTTAAAGCTAGAAAGAATAAAGTAGAAAGATTTAAGAATTTAAGTGGTAAGGCTGTTTGGTAGCAACTATCATTTTTTAATCTCTTATACCTTCCTTGGCAAGTCACTCCTAGGCAAGTATCTTGTCTCTCTTCCCTGCACATGTTTTTAAAGTACAAGGTCAGCTTCCAATGGCTATAACTTACCTCAATGCCCATCCAAAAGGGACTAGTTAAATACCTGAGGCTTCCCTGCTGTCTTCTGCTGACTGCCCCTTTTGCAGACAGCATTAATCAATCACTGTCCTTCAAGAGAACAACCCAGGCAGACATAACCAATCAACCAAAATCCTACCATACAAAATGATACCTACAAGGTAGCCCTGGCCTAAAAGATAGGGAAAATTATCTTTAAGAAGATAACATTTAAGTTTGATTTTGGAAGTCGATCCCTTTGGAGCTTCAGGAGACTGAGCAATTCCTTCCAGCTGGAGTATCAGGAAAGATGATCTCCAAAAATAATGTGGGTGTGAAAAGCTTTTAAATCTGTGAAAATCCCAGGAATTATCATAATTACCTGCCAAATCATGAAAGGATTATACATTTTTTAAAAAGCCTTTGGCATTTCCTTTCATACCAGAATGTTCTATCTCGTCACATTCAAGTAAATCATGCTTCACCTTCCTTCATCTAACAAATTAGATACTTCTTGGTTAAGAACAAGACTCCCCCACCCCAAATTTCAATAGCAGTTGAGGCTCTTCTGGTTACATCCCCAAGCTCTCCAAGAATGTTCACTTAGAAACATCAGAATCTATGTATGTGATGAATCTCACAAGCCATCTTCTGGCCCTCTTTATGGTGGCTGGGGGAGGGCCTGGAACCTCTGTCTGTGAAGACTGCATCACACCTGCCAGTATCCACATTGCCTTAACTCACCTGTGAGTGCCAACTACCTGCCAGGCCTGTCATGCACTTGAGGAATCCTTGCCACCTCCCCTACAGGATGGGCAAGCCTAAGTGTGTGGGCAGTAAGTA